CCCCCCTCCGCCCTGCATTCAGTCCCTGGAATAAAATAGCCATTCTTGCTCGCATTACTGAACGAATTTCTGCAGCTTCTGTGTCGATTGCTAAACAAACGCTAATTAGATAATCCGAAAGAGCTGGCTGAGCTTGTGGGAAGGGCGAAGAGGAGGGTTGGAAGGCAGCGCGGTCATGTAGGACCCTAGTAACTTACTAGGTGGACTGCTGGACTTCAGGGAGTCAGAGAGTGCAGCGCCCAGTAACATGGGATCTGCACTAAGGACGTGGGTGCGGAGGAGGAGGACCAGCTCCAAGGCAGCTGTGGATGCCACCTCCCCAGCCCTCAGTGCTGGGCGCAGTGGGAAGCCCCAGCAGGCTTGGAGCTGCAGCCCAACCTCCTGCTGAGGAATCCAAAGCCCCTAGGCCTGCCTCCCCTAACCTGACCCTCCCACTCCGACCTCTTCAGAGTTCCCCCAGCTCCTAAGGAGACCAACGCAGAGACTGGCACATAGGAAAGCCAGACCCCCCTCGGAGACGCGCTCGGCAGGGGAAGGCGGGGCTCCTTTGCGATTCCTGGCTCCGCTCTCTGACCCCCGAGTCACCCTAGCCATCCCGGCCTCTGCAGAGCGAGGGGACAGCGCAGGCCCCGGGAGAGCGCGGGGCCAAAAGGCCAATTTGGGACCTCGCTTCCCCTTTAAGGGTTCCTGAAACTTTCCCGGAGCTATCAGAAGCGTCTCGTCACATCCGTTGGCCCTGGCCTCCAGGGCACGTTCCGAGGAAAAGCTGCACTCCAGTTTCCCCGGGAAGAGGCGCTGCCCGGGACCGCGGCGGAGTGCTGGGCGCGCGGGCGGACCCCGGCCCTGCGCCCAGCCTTGACCTTGGGGAGAGCCGGCTCCTGCGGGGCGGCGGGCGCCCGCCAGAGGGGGCAGCGGCTGGGAACTTGCTCAACTTGGCGACGCGGGCTGGGGCGGCTCCTGCGCCTCCGCCTTGCCGGGAGCCTCCTCCCGGGCGCATCCTTCTCCCCGGCCCATCCCCCTTCCTCCTCCAGCGCCTGCCGGGCCCCGCAGCCGCGCGCGTCCTCCCATTCGCTGAGTCCCCGCCGCGGGGATGGGCGCGCTGCTGCTCCCGCTGCTGGCCCAGTGGCTCCTGCGCGCGGCCCCCGCGCTGGCCCCCGCGCCCTTCACGCTGCCTCTCCAGGTGGCCACGGCAGCGAGCCATAGGGCTTCGGCCCCTCCGGGGCTCGGGACCCCCGCGATGCCCGGTGCCGATGGCCTGGCGCTCGCCCTGGAGCCGGCGGGAGACGCCGCCAACTTCTTGGCTATGGTGGACAACCTGCAGGGGGACTCTGGCCGCGGCTACTACCTGGAAATGCTGATCGGGACCCCGCCGCAGAAGGTAGGTGGGTGGGCGCTCGCCCAGCGGCCCCTGACACCCTCCGGGCTGCAGCCACGGGCTGTGTGGGGTCTCCTGGATGGAGCTGTCTCCGCGGGTCTAACGTCGCCCCTAAAGCAGCAGCTGTCCCCAGAAGGCAGGGTGGGTGGGCAGCGGAGGCGCACGCTAGGGACGCGTGGGGAGCGCAGCTCCTGCCCGGACACAGCTGAGGGGTGTGAGCAAGTGTTTCAGAACTTGTTGGCCATTCCCCAGCCCTGGCCGGGCAGCTGGAGGGACTGTAAGGCGCCTCCAGCGGGATTTCCTCTTTGGGAGCGATTCTGCCTTCCGGGAGGGTTGGTACCTCCCTGGGGGTCTCGGAAGAGATGCAGTTAGGTGGGGAGGAAATCTTTGGAGTTGATCCCCCCGCCATGCTGTCTCAATGCTAAAGAGGCGCCTGGCCGGCTTCCAAAGCGCAGTACCCTTTAAAAGAGATTTCTACGCGAGCTGTGCTAAAAGCAGCCAGGTTCCGAAGGGGCTCCTTGCCGCGCGTGGAGCGCTCCGCCTCTCCGAGCCCGCCTGCCTTTCTTGGAGTTGGTTTGCTGGCTTCCTCTAAGCTGTCCGGCTGCCCATCCTGCGAGGCTTGGACCCGCGTGGGTTTGGAAAGTAGGAAGCCATCCATCTACCGGAGGAAACGCAGGCTGAGCCAGGTGACGCCAAAGCAAAACTCAGTCCAAACAGCCTGCTTCTACCCTGGCTCGGTTGTTTATTAACACTTTCTATAGCAAAAAACGCAAACTCCCAAGCTACTGGACTCTAAGAGGGAGAAGGAGAAACCGCCTAGGACTTGATCTGACCGGCTTCTCTCTTAAAACTACCTAGTACAAGTGTGGTTTGAAGTCAAGTTCCGGACGCCGTGTGAAGTTACTTTATTTTTATTTTTAACATCGTGGTTTGGGTTTTCCATGCCCCGATTGTCCATAAATAGAATACTCATGACTTCTGTATAATTCTAATTAAATTATTCAAGAGGTTAAGAGAGACACGCCAGGCTAATGCTTTTTTTTTTTCTTTTACAAAAAAAAGCAAAGTGCTGAATAACTTCAGGAGTTGTTTAGTTTTTTTTTTTGTTTTTTTTTTTTAACCTTCAAGAGTGTATTATTCTGTCTGCTCAAAACTTTCATTCTGGAACTGTGCAGATCTTTCTACACCATCTCCACCCCAGGCTGGACGAAGTGGGGAGAGGAAGGAGGCTGTTGTCAGCTGAGGGAGCTTAGCTGCCCCTGGGGTAGCCACAGCACCATGTGAGGGCACCTCCAGGGTGGTGCAAATCCTGTGAGCTGTCTTTTACAGGACTACAGAAGACAGGAGAGGCCTCTTTTGTGTCCCACAAAGTCTTTTAGACAGCGGGCCTTGACTGAGTCTCCACTTGAAAACTAAGTATCTGCTTTTATGGTCAGAAGCGCCTGTTGGCCCTAGAGCAGAAGGGAATTAATTCTCTCTCTTGAAGTGGAGTAGGTGTGGGCAGTTGCAGGGCTGGAGCCCAGAGGCAGAAAAATCCAGGTTGAAAAAAAAAAAACTTTAAGGAAGAGAAAACACCTCTCAAAAAAACTCCTAAGTAATAGCTTGCCTTTGGTAATTAATTCAGTGACCTTTACTTTAAACTCAGTGATGAAGTTTAATTAATTTAATTAACAGGCTGTGTTGAGTGCCTATGTTCATTTCTTTAACATAGCCAAGGGTGTGGTTTGTCCCAAGATGATTTCTCAGTTAAACTGTAATGTGTTTCTAAAGGAGGCTATTTTTTGACAAATACGGATATAACTTTTGCCTTAGGTGGGAACTATTCCGTAGCTCCTCCCTGGCTTGATGGTGGGGTAAGCTGCTTTACCGTGAGATCCACACACCCTGCCACTGTAAATATTAGACCTTGGTGACCTGCTCGGGTTCACCTCTCCATCCTTAGTGTCTCTGACAACAGCAGGGGTGCAGCTGGCTAAGGAGTTCTGAACCAGAGAGTGGGATGCTCCACTGGTGGCCAAGAGTCATGCGTTTGTTTTCTGCTGGTTCTCTGAAACCCAAAATAAAAATTGCTTAGGTGTGGAGAAAGATGTAATTGAAAATTCAACCAGGACTTTCTCAGGTGTTAATAGTCCTAGATAGGGTCTAAGGGATCCACAGATGGGGAGCCCTGCTTCGAGCTCCAGGTGTGTCCTCTCTGGGGTCCTCAGAAGCACCCCTTAACCACCTAGCTTTCACACGTGTGGAGGAGTTTAGGGGGTACACATGCATGTGTGCCTGTGGAAGCTACACGTCAACCTCCAGTGTTATGCCTTGGAGCCATACACTTTCCTTCTGGAGACAGGATCTCTGACTGGGATGAGTTAGGCTGGCAGGCCAGTGAACCCCAGGGATCTTCTGGGTCTCCCTCCCCAGGGCTGGGATTACAAACATGCACCACAGCACCCAGCTTTCATCCTAGTGTTACTGTGTGCATTGAGGGTGGAGGACTGACATTTGGAAAACTTGAACGACTTGCCAGAGCAATAAATCAACAAAGAGGGGAAGCTGGACACAGAACCCAGGCAGCTAGACCTCAGAAGCCAACGTCTGAGCTGCAGGCAGATCTACGCCTCCCTCCCCCCGTATCTCTGGGCTCTTATTCCTTGGTTTTGACTTCAAAGTGCCCTTCCCAGGCAGTGATCCCTGATCCGTGCCCCACAGTGCTAGGGGCTTTCCATGCCTGACTACACCTCGAGTCCCCCCACATCCTCAGCACTCCTCCTCCCTTTCAGGGCTGACCTTAAGGAAGAACTTAAGCAGTAGTTGGGTCCAGGTGAGTACCTGAGGAGGCTGGGCAGGAGCCAGAGCTGCAGAGCCCTGATGTGCTACGGGAAGGCCCCGTATGTCATTTTGTCAACAACTGGGGCTCTACTCCTGCCCACGACTCTGAGAAGTCACAGGCTTCTGCCCAGCATCCAGAGAGAGAGAGCTGCAGAGCTGGGTGCTGGCTGGCAGGCCCACGTTGGCATGGAGATGGGAGCCGGGGTCACACAATGATACCATTATATGACTTCTGTCTAACGGGAGAGCCGGCATCGGCTGGAACGGTGCAATTTGGTCTTATTAATAATAATAATGGTGTTCTAAAGTGATTATAATTATGGCAATTTCCACTATTAAAAATACTTTCATGCTAACACAATAAATCTGACTGAAGGCAGAAAAAGTCTACGTTATATGCTTTATGGTGGCTGACAAAGGGCTCTGGGGTTTTCTGTTGTCTGCATTGATATGGCAAAACTGTTTTCCCATTTATGCCTTCAAATGTAAACATTTAACAAAATGATTTGGCACATATGCTGGGTCATCTTTCAGCCCCTTGGCGCAAAGTTTGGACGCATGGAATGAGCCTCTCTATATAATTTAAGAGTTTCTGTTTTCTGGAATAAGCCATTCAGGGTCCCCAAATCATATTAAGCTCGCTGTCAGTAAGGCTGGAAAAAGGCAGGCAGTGCAGGTGAGAGGTGTCTGATGCACCCCACTGACAAGGTGAGCTGCTCTGGACAATGAAAGAGAAGACCAATGGGATTGGCGGCCAGAACTCCACAGCTAGTTACCCCTAGGTCCTCCAGGTGAGAGGTGGAGCTCCTGGGTTAGGGAAAGAATCACTGAGTATGGGAAAGGTGGGCCCCTCAGCCTAGAGCACTGCACACAGTTCAAGAACAGCAGCCGCTGCATCAGCACATACCTTTATTTCTTGACTATTGAGCGTGGGGTGCCATGTGAAAGCATTGGGTTTCTTTGGGTGGTGTGTGGGCTCGAACTCACACTAGTCAGGTGCTCTACGGCGTGAGCCTCCTCAGTTCTTCCTGCTAAGCTTTTCACCCAGCTTCGTTTGCTGAATTCTCTTAAGTTCCCACAAAGACTGTACAAGCATTCAACTTCAGTTGGGGAAACTGAGACTTGTAAAGTTGAGACCTGTTTCCAGGGTCACACCATGGAGGGGCAGGTTCGTCTGCCCAGTTCCCGTCCACATCCTGTGCTACTGAAAAGGGGGTTCCACTGTCTTAGTGACAGTGACTTTTGAATAAAAGCCGTCTTTCATTTCTGAATGGCTTTGTGTTGTTGAGGGTGTCCAAGTACTTTCATGTCTCACTGATGACCGGGGGCAGGTGGTTCCCCTCCCTGAGCCCCCCACCCCCCACCCTCCATGGTGAATGATTCAATTCATCTGTATTACTTTCTTCAGGCTTCCGTAACAAACCAGCGTAAACCAAAGTTTGAAACAATTGAAATCTGTCCTCTCACCGTTCTGGAAGTCCAAAACTAGTGTCAGCAATGGGAATATTCTCCCTCAGGAGGCGCCAGGGGAGGGTCCGTCCCTGCGTACTGGAGAGCAGCTGACGGTCCTCAGTGTTCCTGGACTTGGAGCTGTACCTCTGCAGCTTCTGCCTCCTTCTACACGGATTTGTGTATAAATTCCTCTTAATTTGCTTATATCTTCAAAGACCCACTTTGCAAACCAGGTTCTGGGGTTGGGTCTTCAACATGCGCTCATGCGTGACATAATAAAATTTTGATCAGAAATGAACTGCAGGGCTGCCGAGATGGCTCAGAGGTTAAGAGCACTAACTGCTCTTGCAGAGGACCCAGGAGTTCCCAGCACCCACGTGATGGTTAACAGCCATCCGCAATTCCAGTTTCAGGGGATCTGACACCCTCTTCTGACCTCCATGGGCACTTTACGACACAGTAGTGCACCTACCTACGTGCATGCATTACACTCATATGCATAAAATAAAAATAATAAAATATATATAAAAAGAAACGGACTGTGTAGACAGTGGTGGTCTCATAAAACTCTTTTGTCTGGTGATGTCATCTGGTTTCATTTCTCTTCCTGTTGCTATGATAAAATAATCTGGAAAGCAGCTTATGGGAGAAGATTTATTCTGGCTCAAAGTTCAAGGTATGGTCCATCATGGTGGGGACGTCAAGGTGGTTGGAAATTAAAGCAGCTGGTT